TATATATATATATATATATATATATATATATATATATATATATATATGTATTTGTTTAGTTTTAGTTTTTCAAGCCAGGGGGGCTGGACTTTCTCCACCCATATGTTTGAAAGTTATGGAAGTGACGATAATTCCTATAGAAATAGTGCTAACTGTATTATTTAGTAACATATTTTCCCTTGACCATTCTGAAAAGGAGACATTAGCTGATTTTGTTGGAGGAATAATATATAATTTTCCTTTCACCCCATTTAGGGATATATGTTGCAAAGTTGAGTGTTATTTGTAACTTCATGGAGTTATTTGAGTTTCAGAGTATTTAGTTTGCTTCTTTTCATCAGCAAGGACAAAATGTACCCATTCCAAAGTCTGATAGCTAAACTGCAGACATATTTTGGCTGTTGTTTTTTCTTTTGTTACTTTTAGTACCACTAGATCACATCAGACTCGAGGCCCGTGGGCCAAATACAGTCCGCCATAACCATTTCTGTGTCTCTCTACACCCAAGAGGGCCACAGAGACAGAACTTCAAGATAACAGTTGTGTGCTTCAATATTATTTTATCAATCAAATCAATTTTTATGTTTATAATGCCAAATTACTCAAACATGAAATATTTAATTTTTAGAAGTAGTCATCAAATGCAGAACGAGTTCTATTTTACTAGTTTGTTCATAGATAGTTTTATCAATACTATATTATACATCTAAAAAAGTTAAATCTGGTCCTCTGGACATCCAAAAACAAAACAAAGGAAAACAACAACAACAACAAAATGTAGAAACGTTTCGTCTTTCATCTGAAAAACTTCCTCAGTCTGAGGTGCTGTATTCAGCTCAGTCTCTTAAATAGCACCTTCTCAGAGTGGATCAACCAGTTTGCTGCTGACAACCAAAACCAGCTGCTCGCATGCTCAAGAAGGACCATCAGCCTAACAATGGATCATTAGCACACTGATGGCTGTTTACTATTCACAGAGGGCTGAGTGATACTAGCAATCACAGCATTGTAAGAGGGGGACAGTTGAACCTGGAGGCCTCCACCCCTGTTTAATGATGGACGATTTCTTTTCACAAAGATGGCCTCCTTTACTCCTCTCTCAAACCATCGTTCCTCTCTGTCCCGGATGTGAACGGATCGGGACAGCGGGAGTATCAGAGAAACTGAGATGTTTATTTTCTGAACATAACGTCTGAGAAGGTGCTATTTATAAGACTGAGCTGACACAAACATTCAAAACTTGAAAATTACAGATAAAAGCAAAGGATAATGATGTTTAGAGGAGAATATAACAATTATTTTTTTCTTGTTTATCAGATGGGGATGTGAAAACAGCCAGCCAGACATATGAAGCCATTGCTGGAAAAGTGGGACACTAAACAAATTGTGAATAAAAACTGAATGCAATGATGTGGAGGTGCCAACATCTAATACTTTATTCAGAAAAGAACACAAATCACAGATCAAAAGTTTAAACTGAGAGACTGTATCATTTTAAGGGAAAAATCTGTTGTTTCCAAATTTCATGGCATCAACAAATCCCCAAAAAGTTGGGACAAGTCCATTTTTACCACTGTGTGGCATCCCCCCTTCTTCTTACAACACTCAACAGACGTCTGGGGACAGAGGAGACCAGTTTCTCCAGTTTAGAAATAGGAATGCTCTCCCATTCATGTCTAATACAGGCCTCTAACTGTTCAATCGTCTTGGGCCTTCTTTGTGGCACTTTCCTCTTTATGATGCGCCAAATGTTCTTTATAGGTGAAAGATCTGGACTGCAGGCTGGCCATTTCAGTACCCGGATCCTTCTCCTACGTAGCCATGATGTGATTGCTGCAGAATGTGGTCTGGCATTATCGTGTTGAAAAATGCAGGGTCTTCCCTGAAAGAGATGATGTCTAGATGGGAGCATTATGTTGTTCTAGAACCTGAACATAGTTCTCTGCATTAATGGTGCCTTTCCAGACATGCAAGCTGCCCATGCCACAAGCGCTCATGCAACCCCATACCATCAGTGATGCAGGCTTCTGAACGGAGTGTTGATAACAACTTGGGCTATCCTTGTCCTCTCTGGTCCGGATGACATGGCGTCCCAGTGTTCCATAAAGAACTTCAAATCGTGACTCATCTGACCACAGAACAGTCTTCCATTTTGCCACACTCCATTTTAAATGACCCCTGGCCCAGTGCAAACGTCTGAGCTTGTGGAGCTTGCTTAGAAATGGCTTCCTCTTTGCACTGTAGAGTTTCA